GGCGGGCGGCGGGCTACCCGGCCCCGGACATGGCGCCCGGCTCAGCGCGCTCCCGCCCGGCGGCGGGCGGAGGGACAGGCGGCTGGGGCGCCGCGCCGGGCTCGTCCGCGCGCCCCGCTTTCTCCGTGGCCCCCCCACACCCCCACCCCGGCTGTGACCCCGCCGCGCCCGCCCGGCGCCTGCAGCGCGACCCCTGGCGGCCGGGAGGGCCCCCTGCACGCAGGCGGCGGGCGCCCGTCCCGCCCCGGGGCCTGGTCACATGTGGCCCGGGTGCCTGGCCGCGCGTCTTGGAGGCCCAAGCTGCGCCGACCCAGCGACACCCCTACTTCCAGGTTTAGGGCACACTGCATTCCCTGCGGGCCTGCGCCACAAGTTCTCAGTTCCCTTTTCTGAAAAAGACAAGGTCTTTGGAAAGAGGAAGAGGAGAGGCCAGCACGGCGGGGTGTGCAAAAAGTAGTGGGGGGGGGGGGAGTATAAGGAGGGACACCACTCCTCTGCCGGGTACCGAGGAGAGCAGAGGGCAGAAGCTCACATGGCCAGAGGGCTGGCAGCCTGAGTGAGAAAGAGGAAGCCCCTTGGGGACACTGCGAGCAGGACCTCACAAAGGGACAGTGGCACAGAGCAGGGAGGGAGGCGGGAACGCATACGCACAGTGAGGGGGCAGGGCGCAGACCTGCGAGCATGAGGTCAGAGGCTGGCCAAGTACCACCCGTCTTCTAGGTTTTCTGGGCTTAAGAGTTCCATGAGGAAGAGGGAGCCAACCCTGCTTGACATCCATAGTTGGTATAAAATCCTCCTGGGGAGCCTCCCTCAGCTAAAGGGTCCTTGGGGACAGCTGCCCCTGGGGAAACATAAGACTGTGATCTCGGCCATCAGTCACCTCCTCACCCTTGACTCACAGCCAGGGCCTGGGCAGGTGGGAGGGCACGTGTGCTGCCCCAGGAGCCTACATCCAGCCTGGATGCCCATGTTCAATGCTAGGTACAAACTCTGAGGCTGGGGCCCCTCTACAAACCACAACAGTGATGAGAAGATGCAAAAAGCGTATCAGATGAAAGGGCCCGGCCCCACGGATCCTCTAAATTTCCAAATGCATCCCCAAGAGTAAAACCCACACCAAGTGTTTGATACGATTTTTTTATTAACATATAATATATTTAATAAAAAATAATTTCCACTCTGGCTCTCTCCTCCATTGCAAGGGGAAGAGTGGTGAGGAGGGGTTGGCACTGCCCACCCCCAGGCATCCGGGCAAGCCCTGCCTCCGGGGCTCCCCTCCACCCCTGCCTTCCAACAGGCTCTGACCTCCAGACAGACGGTTCAAAGTTACAAGTGCTTCAGGCCCTCCCTTGAACTCCCCCAGGCCCACCCCTTGTGCAGAATTCAGGGGCCACCTGGACAAAACCCTTGCTTTTTCTCATTCCTGGGATCCCTCGTTCATGTTAGAAAGAGGGTCTGGGGGCAGAGTGGAGTCTCTACTGGCCAGGGGGAAGGGAGGAAAGGAACAGTGATGGGGCAGGGCCAAGGGGGGTGCCGATGAGGCCCCTCACTGCAGCCGGTCACTGCGGAATGAGTCCTCCACGGCAGGATCGGGCAGCAGGGCACAGGGGTCGCTCAGCATGTGGAGCCCTTCCAGGCCCAGTGGCTCCATACGCAGGTCCTCCTCCAGCCCGAGCCCCAGTCCCAGCCCAGCTGCCGACACCTCAAAGCCAGGCACTCCGGCCAGGGCCGCCGCAATCTCCTTAGAGAAACCTGGGGAGGACTCTCCTGTGTGGGCAGAAGAGATGGGTGAAGACCCATGGCCTGTAAACTCTTCGAGGACCCCTGGATCTCCTGCTGCACCAGCGAATGTATCACCCCCTCCTTCCATGCCCCATCACCACCCACACTGCTCACCTGGGAGAATGATGTTGGGCCCTGCGGCATGGCGGGAACAGTGGGTCACGTTCTGGTGGTTGAGGGCATGGGGGTCCTGGAGGCTACTCACTGGCCCCTCACCCCCTAAAAATCCAGGCCCTTCAGAAAAGCCAGGGGGATCCAGCGCCAGGCTGGTTGATGGGCTCTCCATGCTGAAGTGCTCCAGCTACGAACACAGACAGAGCCTAAGGAAGTGCTTCAGAACAGGGCGTCCCACTGGCTCCCGCCTGCCCTGCAAAGCACCCCCCGCCACTCCAGGAATAGGAGCAGAGACAGGGAGAAGGCTGCAAGCAGAGCAAGAGAAGCAAGCACGGGGCCCGGAGCAGGTGTGGGCGCCGTACCTGCTGGGACAGAGCGTGCGCATGCCAGGAAGAGAGCGAGTCGGAGCAGCGGGCACCGGAGAGCACGCGGCGCGGAGACCGCTAGGGGACGGGGGCAGGGGGAGGGGTCAAACGCAGGAAGAGAGAAGCCTCAGGTTGGCAGGGCTCCGTTATCTGGGGGGAAGGAGATCTCCCTCGCCACCCCAGATCTCCCAATTCAGAGCGCACCAGCGATACTACACAGGCCCCCCGACCCACCCCTGGCCCTGCCCTGCTTCTGGACCTGGGTACTTACGTTCCCCAGGCCGAAGTCACTCATGGGCCGGTGGTGAGACTGCTGCCCCTGCCCACTGGAGCTGGGTGGGTACAGTGCCCCATAGTGTGGTGGCCGGCCCGGGGGCTGCCCGCCTGAGGGCTGCATGGAACAGGCCTGAGAGGGCAGCCCTGGCTGCTGCAGAGGTTTTGGGGCGGGTGGCTGGCTGGGCAGAACCAAACCTGGGGGGCTATATGGGTATGGAGGCAGCCGCTGGTCAGTGGACAGTTTGCTGGTATCCAGGGGGACACCCTGAAGAGAAGCAAGGAGAAAGGGAGCAGCTTACCCCTCGGTAGCGCCCCAGGGGGAAACTCTTAGTCAGGGTTTCCCACCCTGTGAAGCTGCAACCATCCTCAACACAAACGTGACAGCGGTCCATGGGGTGCCCCGGGGCCGGGGCCGGGGCCGTCGCGCTACTCAGCGCGTATCGGATGAGCGAGGCCGGCAACAGAGGCCTGAGGAAACCGCTCCTGCGCAGGGAGGCTGCCGCGTACCCCGCAGGCCAGGGCCAGCACGGGGGGGGCGGGGGGGGGGGGGCTGCCGGAGGCAGGGAGAGCGGGAAGGAGGGAGGGAGTCAGGCTCCAAGGGAGCAGAGCCCTCGCTGGCCCGGCCTTAGTCTTTCCTCCAGGAACATGGAGCACACATTCCAGGGAAAGGCGGTGGAGGAGAGGAAGTGGGCAGCGAGAGAGGGGCAGGGGCGGGGGCGGGGAGAGGCGCGCATTTCAGCACCGAGGAAGGAGCCCTCAGCTAGGTTCTCAGGCTGCTCCCGACTCTTCCTAACTTGCTGAGTAAGCTTGGAAAGCACTTTCCCTCTGGGTAGTATCCTCATTTGTGACACCAAGAGATGAGGCTCCACGTCTGAGAGCCCCCAACTCTATGACATCCATGGACGGAGGACAGCGATGGGAGAGGGGATGCGACAGGATGGAGGCATGAGAGACAGACAGACAAGGAAAGAAGCATGGGGAGAAAAGGGGGAGAAAAAGCCACCATTTGTGGAGCATGCACCTGGGTGGGCACGGCCTAAGCACATCCCGTGTGCGGTTCCTGTGACCCTTACAACAGCACCCTTGTGTTACAGGTGAGGATGCGAGGCTCGCGGCCGGCAGGGCACCTGTCCAAGGAGGCCGCTAGGAGGAGGCGGGGTCGGGATGTAAACCGGGAAGCGGCTCACCCAGG